CCTCTTCTAAGCCTCTAGATTGCATTGTTTTTGTAATTTCTCTTCTCCAGGAATTTGTTGGTCTTCCCCTTTTCCTTCTTTCTGGCGGAACATACATTAAGGCTTTCTTTGGCCACCGCTCCTCCTCCATTCTCATCACGTGACCATACCATTGTAATTGCCTTCCTTGTATTCTATCTGAAAGAGTATCTCTAATTTCTGTACGGTTTCGTATTTCCTCATTCCTGATTCTTTCCATTCTCGATACACGACATGACCTTCTAAGATAATCCATTTCCACAACGTCTACTTTATCTCGTTCATTCTTTGTCATCGTCCAACATTCGGCACCATATGTGGTAATTGGTTCTACAATTGCTCTGTATACGCGAAGTTTGGTATGCATCTTTATTTTATTAGACCACAGTAATGAATTCAGTATTCGGATGCATTTTTTCCCTTGGGTTATTCGGTTTTGTACATCTATCTTAACTCTGCCATCTGCTGATATGATGCTTCCTAGATATTTATACTGGTTGCAGCCTTTTATGACTGCGTTTTTAAGCCTCAGATCTGTGGTATTTCCTCCAATTTTTAAATATTCTGTTTTGCTTATGTTTACCCTTCTTTTTTTAATATGCCCGAAAATACTGAATATATGAAAAAAATACAAATTACCAAATTGTAGCTTTTTTAATGACTAAAATTATCCTTCATTTAGATTTGTTGTACAATGAATATTTGGCGAGATATAGACGTTTAAAGCATCGATTTACGATCAAGCACCATCTTTTTCGAGCCCTTTAAACTCACCCCATTTAAAAACCAAGGGTTCCAAAAAGATTTAATTCACAGATTCTTGTAGCTCTTAAAAACCTCTACAAATCGTTTTTGAAGAAACACTCTATCGTTAAAAATTAAAGAAAATACGTTAAAAAAACCAGTGAATTTTTTTCCGGAAAATTCTATTAGTATAGTACAGTACATTTCGGAGCATAATAATCTACAAAACCGGTATATTAGCTAGTGGGGCGTTATACATTCGAAATTTTAAGCGTTCTTATTTTGAAATCCCATACAACAGAATAAAACATCTGCTCATATGTCTATGGCTTGGCAATGAAAATATTAGAGCAACAGATTGGGGATGGTTTTCCAAAGATGCAACCTGCACCCGATAAATTTTTGAAAATTATTTTTGCCAATGCAAAAAAGGATGCGGCGTTTCATATGGGGCAGAAAAGTTGGTTTATACTGTAACTCTACTTGTTCTGGGTGCTCAGGTGAAGGGTGCAATAACAGTCCACCAATAATTGAGGAAGATGATGATGACATAGATCACGATAAAGATGTAATTGATGACGAATAAAATTAATATTATAATTGTTTTACCTATAAATGTAAATATTTTCAACTATTTATGTAAATGTAAAAGAATATATGGTGCCTTTTTATGTTGATAATTTTTTTTGTATTTAGTTCTACTTTTTTCAATTTATATCTTATAAATTAGTTTATAAAAACTGCAATGTTGTAAAGGGTGATTTTCAAAAGTTGAAAAGTTGCAAAATTTTGGCAAAAAATTGTTTTCACCTATAGCACTCATAACAATTGATTTTTAAGGGTTGAAAATGTATGAATTTGTATTTTAAAGTAGAAAAAACTCACTATTTAACTAATCCAAACCAAATTTCACTCATCTTAGGATTTGTAATATTATTTTACAATTTTGAAAATTAGGGGTAGTTTTCACCCCTAAGAACAATCAGGGTTCATCCTCATGACATAAACTATAAAGCAGAGGGTGAGTTGAGCTTAATTCCAAATTTTATGCAAGTCGTTCCAAGGTGAAATCATTTTCTTCGCATTACTAATTTTTTTATATTAATCTCTAATGAGGGTCGCTTTTTAAGGGTTGAAATATGATGGAACTTTATTGAAAAGCACGAAACTATCATTATTTAATTAATTCAAACCAAATTTTACCCATATTCAGGTTTAATATGTTATTTTATAATTTTTGACAATTAGGGGTAGTTTTCACCCCTAAGAACAATCAGGGTTCGACGACATGACATAAACTATAAAGCAGCGGGTGAATTGAGCTTAAATCCAAATTTTTATCCAAATCGATCCAAGGCGAAATCATATTTTTAGAATTAGTAATTTTTTACATTAATCTCTAACAAGGGTTGCTTTTTAAATGTTAAAATATGATGGAACTCTATTGAAAAGTATAAAATAATCATTATTTAATTAATTCAAACCAAATCTTACCCATATTCAGGTTTAATATGTTATTTTATAATTTTTTACAATTAGGGGTAGTTTACCCCTAAAACCCTTCAACGCACTTCGGTTCGATATAGATTTTGATCCTTGGGCTATTACCTACCTTCTGCTAAAATTTCAACTGGATACATGCAGGACGAAAAAATTGCGAGGTTTTAACTTTTTTCGAGCTTCAATTCCTGAACTATTATCGCCTCCTTAGATAAACCCGTCTTACGCAAACAACTTTGTTGCGAGACAGATAGTTGAACGATATTTTATACAATGTCTATACCCAGGTATGGATTTAGTTTTGTCTAAGTTTTATATTGGTCCACTATTTTAAATGCAGTTCAAACAGACATGTATTAAATTGTATGTTCCGTTTTAATTTGGTTCAATCTATATATATATATATATATATATATATATATATATATATATATATATATATATATATATATATATATAAGGTAGTCCAAAATTTTTTATGACTAGTTTGGAAAAAATATGTAAATACTTTTTTCTTTTTGGGTGTGGTAGTCAATAAAAAATAGAGCTTTGTTAAGGCGTACTATTTATTCTGAATCCGAGCTTTCGGTGGTTGTTTGCCACCTTTATCAAGGTCTACAATGAAAATTAGTGTGTTATAAACTTTGACTGATGCAATATAAAACTTATAAAAACTTACCAGAAAGTAAGATTCATAGCATATAAAACACAACGTTAAATAACATAATATGACATGAATTGCTGAAGGCATTAAAACTGTTAAAAATTTTAAAATAACTTAAAAGTTAATGAATACGTTACAAAGTTTAAAATGTAAAAAGTAAGACGACATGTTTGACAAAAAAACAGTCGTCTTCGCAGGTTTGAATTCAGTCACATCTCACGGACAGAAAGAGGCAGTAGGAGGAACTATTGTTGTTTAAATAGTTCGATGTAACTACAAAAACAAACTTTCAAACCGATGTCTAACAAAATACCGTTTGTGATATTAAGTACTACTAACCATATTACCAACTTTAAATTGAGAGGGAAATTTAAAAAAGTTCATTATGTCAAACAATAAAAAGAAAATAGTATTTAGTAAGTAGGTTTAGAAAAAACAAACAACCAAAAACAAAATGAACCATCTGAATAATAACTGAAGTTAATCATGATAATTATAGCAATTAATAAAGGAATTTAAGAAACAAGACAGGAAACACTCTGAGATGCAGAAAACCTTAGTCAAAAGTCAAAATAAAATTGTAAATTTTGCTAAGATTCTGGATCTCAGATCTTTTATTCAGATTGTTGTTATCACTCTTGCTGATATGTACCATTTCTAAGAATGTTCTCTTAAATTTATTTTTCTCTCTGGCTAATATTTTTACATTGTTGAAATCTATCTTATGGTCTAGATCGATACTATGTTCTGCCAAAGCACAAGTGGGTTTATTTAGTCTACAGTCACTCTTATGAGAAATGATACGACTAGACAGATTTCTTCCAGTTTCAGCAATGTACGTGGATGGACATTCAGTACATTGAATGCAATAAACAACATCTCTTGACTCTAAAGTAGTTAGGGGTTGTTTTATTTTGCTATACAGCTGACGTATGGTTTTGATGTTCTTGTTAGCTATTTTGATGTTGTTAAATTCTTTGAAAACTTTAGTAAGTTCTACGGTTAGTTTTGGAATATACGGAAGGGCATAAAAATACACACTTGTTTGAGAAGAATTGTTTTGTGCTGAGAGCACTGATTGTGAATTAGTGAGAATGTTATTTCTGTTAACAAATGGAACATTAAAAATTAATTTATTAATCAGTCTCAGAGGATATGAATTTTCAACAAAAATATTCCGTAAGAGGTTAAGATCATGTTGGAGATAATCTGGATGTGATAACCTTTTGACACGTTCTTTCATTGCTAGGACTAGGTTGGTTTTCATTCTAGGAGGATGGTAGCTTATGAATCTATTGCTACATATAGGTTTTCTATACCATTGTGTTTTCACAACATTATTCTCACATCTATGCAAACTCATGTCAAGGAAGGGCAAAGATCCTTCCCGCTCTTCCTTGCATGTGAATTGCAAGTGTGGGTTTTGTTGGTTGAAAACATTTAACGTAAATTGTATAGAGTCTGCTGGTAGTGTCAAGATTAAGTCATCCACGTATCTCTTTATAAAAGGTATTTCAAAATTGATTTGTTGCAAACAGTCTTTAATCAAGTCGTCTAAGACATAATTACAAAGAATTGGTGAAATAGTGGAACCCATTGGAGTACCAAAGAGTCAAAAACAAACAGTTTCTGATTTGGTAAAGGAGAATCAAATAGATCAATCAGTTGGGAAAATGGCAAGTCAACCATATCTTTCATGACTGAGAGTCATTAGATCGTAGACGGCAAACACTTTTCACAGGCTACCGAGTGACTCCAAAAACATATGGTACGCATCCTCTAGAGGCCCAGAATCCTAAAATGAGTATCATGAGTAAATAGAAGTACCAACTTGTTAAACAGACGGCTTCCATTAAAAAAACCCATATCCATTTTGTGTTTTTAAGATCTAACTTCAGAACAAATACAATGCCTTTGAATACTACCACTGCTAATAATGCCTGTAGGCCCTTCAGATTGGAGGTTTATCCCTCTTTTTCAATTTTTTTTAGCTTTTACTACTTAAACTAGTTGTCTTTTTTTACTTTATTCTAAGGTATTTAAAAACTCAAACCTATAACGAATGTATCATTACCTATATATATTGAAGAGCTCTCTGGTCTAACGTGATCGTCTATATATGTTGTTCCAAGAGTAAAAAGGGGAGATCCACCACAACCTAATAATAATTGTGCAAGAACGAACAACAATACTGGTCCTGTAGTCGATGGAGTACCCTGAATACAATTATCCCCGCGAATATTATTTGGTGCTAAAGGGGGAGAAGACAACCCTGACGACAACCTTCCTAATCCCATATCTTGTTCATGGACAGAGACAGTTCTGCACATATTCTCTTCAGTCGTGTTCACAATTGTTATGCCACTGTTTTCTTCGGCGATAAAATGTGGAATCATGAATATAAGTGATCCTATGCCCATAATGACAGCTCCAACTCCGATCCAAACGGGAATGTGTCTTCTGCTGCCTAAATAACTTACAAATATAACAGTGATTACATTGCCTATCTCGTACGATGATGCCACCAGACCGGATAGACTTGATGGAATCTCAAACCGTTTCTCAATTGTTGTTATCACAGAATTTATATATCCAGAACTTAATGCTTGTTGTAAGGTAACAAGAAATGACAATAGTAATACGAAGGACTGAAACAAAAAAAGTAGTTAATACATTAGAAATATTAATATTTTTAATAGGTATTGTGTAAGAAAGGATGTTACATATAAAAAACTTTTGATGCTTTTTAAAGATTTATACAGGATATCCAGATTTTTCCGCCACAAAACAAAATTAAAAAAATGCTTTAAAAAAAAAGGGTTGCGGCTCTTTAAAGATGGCAGCCTAGCATAGGTTTTTAAAACTACCTTCAGAACCGTTGTCGTTTCTTTATTTTTATTCTATTCATATTATTTCCACAAAGACCAACACAAATATACATTAAGTAACACCCGTCGACAAATATCTATGACAGATTATGTTATAACCAACAGAGATCTACATCCATCGAAAATAATCGACGTCAGATGCCTCAACTCAGCAGATGTAGGTTGCGACCATAGCCTGTTATTATGTAAAATAAGAATGATCAGGATAAGACAGGAAGATTCCCTGATTTTCTATTGTTCAACCTGATTACGGATAAAATAAAAAAAAAGTCAGAACTAAGAAAGGATACCAAATGAGAGAAAAACAACTAATGTCATACGCGGCAGAAACAAGACCTGACATAGAGAGGACAAAAGGGATGTTACAAACAGCAGAGATGAAAACACTTAGAAAAATTGATGGTAAGACACTATGGGACAGAGCTAGAAGAACAGATATACGACGTAGATGTAAGGTGGAGAACATCAAGAACTGGGTAAGAAATAGAAGAGTAGAATGGAACGATCATATAAGTCGAATGACAACAAATAAAGTGGTAAAGACGGCAAGAGACGGTTCCCCAATAGTAAGACGATCAGTAGGAAGACCACGAAAACGATGGAGCGACAACTTACTGGAGGCACATTGAAAAACAGATATGTCTATAAAAAAGAAGAAGTTTTTGTGTATATTTATCAAGGAACTTATTTCTTATTTTAATGAGTCAAATATGCTTTTAATCAAACTGTCAACGTTACCAATTTCGTTAGGATTTGATTACCTATTCCAAAAAATCTGGATTTTCGGATATAATTAACCTTACTGAAAATTTTTAATACTTAATTATGAAACCAAGCCTTTCAAAAATTTATTCCTTAATTAAATTGCACAAGACAACTATCTGATTAGACCATTAGTTTCTTTTGTCACAACTCCGTTAGGAAAACTTTCAAGGTTTTTAATTGATATCATAAAAAACCATTGTAATTCTGGTCTAAAATACAGCATAAAAACTCCTACCAATTAATGAATAAATAGAATAAAAGTATCCAATTACCTACTAATGCTAGATTGATTTATTTTGGTGTGTCAAATTTGTTTCTTAATATTCCATTTTCTGAGTTTATAGTTCGTGTGAAAAAATTGTTGATCTCCAGTGTTAGTATAATTATAAGAAATGAAATTGTAGACCTCCTAAATATCGATTGAGAGCACAAAACTTTGAATTCAACAAAAGTATGAAATACTTGCTAATGGTTAACCTGCTGAATCTTGTCTTAGCAAACGTTTTCATGGAGGATATCGAATTTAACATTCATAATAATAGGATATCAACAAACTCTTGTCTGTCCCGTATTTGATATTGGGGAGACGTTCTGGTTTTTAGAAATTTACAAATCTCTTTAATTTCTCCTTTGGAAACTCTTATAGGTGATGGTTCTAGATCTTGATGAGATGACCTATTTTCCGTCAAGAGATTAGAAAAGTGATTATCCCATTTTTCTAGCATAATTATATCCTTTGATTTCTCGTATCTTAAGGCACGTAAAAATTTCCAGCTTTCCGTACTTTTGCTTTGTCCAATGTAGGTATTGACTGTGGCACAATTTCTTTCCCAACATTCTTCAAATCATCCGTAATATAGCTTGTTCTTCTTTAAATTCTCTATTATCCTGGAGACTTTTCTGTGTTAAGGAATTTGTTATATTTTTCTCTTGTGACGTCTACCATTTCCATAATTTCCTAATTCCACCAATACGATTTTCTTTCTTCTTATTTATAAACTAGAGTTTCTTGCGCTGATTCGTGTAGACATATCTTTATCTAATTGTATTATTGTTCAGTACTTTCAAATCCCCTCCAAGCTGATTTCACATTTAGTGACATTTGATTAACTGTATTACGCTTTCATGGTTAAAGCTCTCTACATTATACATTAGATCTTTAACATGGTCTTCTTTCTATCCTGCCACATCTTCATTGTCCTTGTGTATTATGCATGGATTTGGGATCTAAAAAGGTAATGGCCAATTCCACAAGTTGCACCCCTATAAACCAGAACATCACGAACAAACATTGTTGCAGTTTCGCAACTTAATGTAGATATTAAGTTGCGAAACCCATATAACTGCGGTTGGGACGAATTAAATTAGTAGAGCTCATCAATCGTTTCAAGGGTTAAACGATATCAACGCTAACCTCACCGTCCCACGCGTATTTTCGGAAGGCAGCCACTTCGGAAGAGAAGCTATCGGCTTTCTAACACATTTTTTGTTCCTGATTTGCTGCGACACAGTTGTGTCGTACCTGCGGGGTAGCCCAGCTACTACCACCGCCATCCACGTGGTAAAGTACAAACTACATATACTAATTACATTGTTTGCTGTTCTATAGCACGTACCGTTCACTTGTGTAATTGTTACTTTTGTGTTGAACTATTTCATATTGTGTCACACTTTGAACTTTTTAACTGAACTTTTAGCAGGACGTTTTACTTTCGTTTCGAAATTACTAGCGTTATTAATAGTGTATTTTTATCTTTATTGATTTCTGTGTTAATAGATTTATTGCTTATTTTGCGTTTAAGCTGCATGTGGTGTGGCTTATTACCAAGATTGATTCATTTTACCACTAATTAATTGTGTTCTTATATTTATGGATATTTTGTTTTTTATGTCAAGTTAAAGTGTAATATTAATTTATGTAGTCAGTTGCCGGATCCTCAAATTCCTTGAAGTATTAATACATTTTTCACACTTCCCTAGGCGTAAATATTTAACCACTTGCATTTTTGGTTCTATTATAATTATTATTTGGTTATATTTTGCATAAATATTGGTTCTTTATATTTTTCTTCTCGTAGTTCCCTCTCCTATTGGAGGTTGGCTATCATCACAGCTATCCGTATCTTATTGGCGGCTGCTCTGAAAAGATCTACTGAGCTGCAACTATACCACTCTCTTAGGTTTCTTAGCCAGGAAATTCTTCGTCTTCCTATGGATCTTTTAACCCTTGATTTTACCTTGCATTATGTACTTAATATCTCATATTTCGCACCTCTGGTAATGTGGCCTAAATATTCCAGCTTTCTTGTTTTGATGTGCTTTATGACCTCGCAATTCTTTTGTAGCCTTCTTAACAGTTCTGCATTTGTAACTCGTTGGGTTCCTAGTATTTTCAAAATCCTTCTATAGCACCACATCTCAAATGATTACAACTTCTTTATATTATCCACTTTTAGTGTCCAGCTTTCCATTCCATAAAACAAAGTCGAGAACACATCTTAAGGCTCTATCCTCAACTCCAGAGGAAGGTCTCGATTAACAAACATTGCTTTCATTTTTATAATTGCTTGTCTTGCAATTTCAATGCGTGTTCTTATTTCTCTACCTTGGCCATTGTTTTCATGTATCCAGGATCCCAGATATTTGTAGTTATTCACTCTTTCTACTTGTATTCCCTCGATGTGTCGTCTGCGATTCGTATTGTTACGAACATGCATTCAGCGTGGTTTGCCTAACGGTTGCATCTCTGGCATCGAGAACCATCGATAGATCTCTCGACCGCAAAAGAACAATCCGTCACGTATTTGACTGAATTAGAATTAGAGGTGGGAACTTTCTAGAATATAGTAACTTTGGTATATATATATATATATATATATATATATATATATATATGTAACGATGTTAGGAATTAAGTTTAGTTGATAAGATAGTACCGAACTGTAAAGTTATAAATAAATATATTTATATAAATTCGAACCGCTTGTTTTATTTAAAAACGGTACAGTTTATTGATATACTCTGTTGTTCTTCTGATATTGCTTCCTTAAAAATAGAGATTGAATAACAATGGAGACAGCACGCAACCCTGTTTAACACCTCTTTTGATTAATAAAGTTTCTGTATCGACATTTTCGATTCTAACCTTTGTTTTTTGATTCCAGTACAGATTGAGAATAACCCGTATATCTCGACTATCCAAATTATTTTCTTTTAATAGTTTTACGAGTTTATGATGTCATACTCTATCAAAACCCTTTTGGTAATCTATAAAGCAGACATAGAGATCCTGTTTCATATCCAGTCGTCTTTCCGCGAGAACGTTAAAAGCGAATAGAGCCTCTCTTGTTCCTAGTCCTCCTCTGAATCCAAACTGGGTGTCGTCTATATCTTTGCTGTTTTTTTGTATAGTCTTCCATGTATTATTTTGAGAAATATCTTAAGTGTGTGGCTTATTAAGGAAATTCTTCTGTACTGGGAATAATTTGTCGCATGTACTGACTTTGGTAGTGCAAACGTGGACGGCAACCAATCTTCGGCTATTACTCCTGTTGTATATACTTTGTTGAACATATCTACACATATCTTGAAAATATCTAAGAAAATATGCAGTGGCGTCATGTAATTTGTTTGACTATTTCTGTCCAATTATCTCTCCCTGTGCGTGTTGTTTTGCCTCGGAGAATGAGTAACTAGTCATCTCCTTTACTTGATCCGACCATCGTACTGAAGATCTTCCTCTGGATCTTTTACCCGCTACGTTACCTTCAACTATCATTTGCTCCATGCCTTCTCTTCTTCTAGTTATATGTCCAAAATATCTCAGTATATTTTGGTTGAAAGTTGTGATGAGTCTAGTTTTTATGTTAAGTTCTGCTAGAATTGAGTTATTTGTGCGATGGGCGGTCCATGGTATGCGCAACATTCTATGGCAGATCCACATTTCAAATTTGTTTGGCTGTTGCCGATCTGGCCATTATGATGCGTTGACGGTT